CTGAGAGCAATGGAGCTTACCTATAATTCCAGCCACTTGGGAGGCTGAGGCAGGAAGATTGCAAGTTCAAAGCCACCCTCAGCAACTGAGCGAGGCCCTAAGCCACTCAGCAAGACCCCATCTCAAAATTTTAGAAAAATATATAAAGAATAAATAAAAAATTAAAAATCTGGTGCTGTGGCCCAGTGGTTAAGCACATCTGGGTTCAATTTCTAGTACCAAAAAAAAAAAAACCTTCTCTCTCTATATGATTTAGAGATAAGCAAATATGGATCATGTTGCTAAATAAAATGAAGGACACTTGTTAATGTAAACTTGAGATTAACAACAAGTAGTTTTTTTTTTTAAAAAGTATACGTATATCCCAAATATTGCATGAAGCATTTATACTAAACTCAAATTTAAGTGTGTGGTTTTTACATGTATTTGCTAAATTTGGTAACTCTGAAACTCAAATTTAAGTGTAAATTTATTTGCTAAATTTAGTAACCCTAAGTAGGGCCCCATCAGTTTTCTCAAAGAAATGTTGATTTTTGAGTGATGGTGGAGAATCGGGACATGGAAATGCAGAATGGGGGCTAGGAGGAGGCTGCCCTGGGTTTGTGAGTGGCACTTTTCTGGGGAGACTTATGGGAAAGGACATGAATGGTAGAGGATTGTTGTTAGAGGAGACCCACGTTTAATTCAGGACAAAGGAAGACATAAATTATGGAAAGATTGAGGATGTGGGGAGATTTGTTTATAAAGGACTTTGGGGTTCAGATGGCCTGGAGGTAAGGAAGTAGGAGGGAGGAGGATCAATGGTACAGTAGCATCTTGGGAAAATCCCTAGAGCCTCTGACATCACTGTAAGATGATTCTTCCCTTTGCCTTAGAAACAGATATAGTTGATAGACCATTGTTCTTAAAGAAGATTCCATAAGGAACTGTGGGCTCATTCCTTAGACCACTCATCACTGCAACATGGAATGAGAGCTGGTCTTATTAAAATTACCTCTGTGTCCAGAGATTGGTTGCTTTGGCCAGTGTCTATCAGACAAGGAGTTAATAAGGTTGCCGTTGGCATTTAAACCAAATTTCAGTTTCTCCCCTATGGAAATCAACAAAAGAAGTCATCCCAAGTCCCCTTTCCAGGTGTAGAATGGCAAAGGTGTGGCAGCAGGTGGCAGGTGCCTTCCACCTGTTCTCTATTTTGAATAAGTAAATTTTTTATCGCCCCCCGGCAGAGGGCAGAAGCCCTGCATTTCTCCAGGAGTAAAGGGGCAGCCACACCCTTTTTACTAGTTTCTCACTTTGGGAGTCCTAACATTTCACTCTTAAAGGAAATTCCAGGCTGAAGAGGAGCAGCATGCCTAAGTTTAGCCTGATTCTGGCAAGACAGCAGGCAGAATGATGATCTATGTGTGGTCTGAGGTGTTCACGTCTTGGGCATTGTGCAAGGAGGTCAAATGGTGAGGAAAGGCAGGGAGTGTTGGTTTCTGAAGGACGAATCCTAGAAATCTACCAGTAGATGGGGGATCTCTCAAGCCTTGAACCAGGACCTGAACCTCCCTCAACCTCACCTAGAGTGAACCCTCTAGGGATGCTGTTCCCACTGGGAACCAGCAACAGGGGCTGCATGATGGGGCTTCTAGCTCTCTTCTCCTTGGCCTGGATGTGAGAGGCTCTGGGGTTCCACTTGAGATGCCCAGAACCCCACAGTGATGAAGCCCTGGGCTCTGTGTCTTGAAACCTATGTCCTGGTTTGAAAGAAGAGTTTATCCCTGGCTTAAGTGGACATGTGATCAGAAAAGAGACTCCAGATAAGGAAAGGGAAGGGAGAAGGTAGGAAAAAAACAAAAAAACCCCAAAAAACAAAACAAAACAAAACAAAAAAAATACTGAGGATAACTGATTTTCAACAAATTCACCAAAAGAATTCCATGGGAAAAAAGAAAAGTTGTTTCAACAAATGCTGGAAGAATTGGATATTCCTGTGTTAGAAAAATGAAACATTTCTTACCCGCCCTACACCAACAAAAATTGTTCGGAGATGAATTTTATGAACTGAAATATTAAAGCCAACGCTATAAATCTTTTGGAGAAAACAGGAGAATATCTGTGACTTGGAGGTGAGCAAAGATTTCTTAGAAGAGAGGGGGAAACAACAACAACAATAAAAAAATGAGATTTCATCAAACTTTAAAATGGGTGCTTATTTAAAGACATTGTTAAGAAAATAAGTAGGCAAGCTCTGGACTGGGAGAAATATTTATAAAATAAGTATCTGCTATAGCTTATTAATCAAATAGTCAATGAAAAATGGGCAAAATATTTAAAAATATTTATCCATTATGAGATAAAAATGAGTT